TTTCTAATTAACGTGCGCTTACTACCAGTATCAACAAATGCACTGGCACTGTGTCCGTTCACTTTTATTTGCTTAATAGCAAAATCATTTTCCACATTTTCAATTGCATTGCAATTTACTTTCGCACTTTTGTTTTTGTCATTTAAGTTATTGTTTTCAGATTTCGCGCTACGATCGCGTTTCTGCGGCTCTGGACAATCACGCGAAAAATGCCCAGGTTTTCGGCAATTGAAGCAAACAATTTGCTTTTTTTGCTTTTCGTCCTGCTTTACCGACTTATGGGACTCAACAGGTGAATTACGTTTCACATCTGCAACATTTTTCGTACAATTATACGCACTATAATTTGTAATCGCACTCAACAGTTCATTGCACGTAGCATAATTGTTCACTGAGATACTTCTCTTCATATCTGTGTCATTAATACCGCTTATAATGTATTTAATTAATGAACTTTCGTCAATTCTACCGCGTCGACCAACCGCAATACATTTGTAGTAAAACGTTTCTACACTTTCATTATGGGCTCTGCGCATGCTCATGAGCTCCATATGTACATCGGCGGGAATCACCACACAAGGAAATTCTCGCAAAAACTCATGCACAAAATGTTGCCAATTTATAAAAATTTCTTGGCTTGCATCAATCCATAACTTTGCTACACCTTCAAGTTTTGTTTGCACGGCAAATAGCAAAATTTTATCGTCCCAACCATAAACACTGCGCAATTGTTCAATACGATTCACAAATTGAACCGAAGTTATTATTTTCTTACTGGGGTCGAATGTTGGCAAAATTGCTGCTATGTCGCGAACGTCACCAAAACACGATCGACTATTCTGATGAAATTCTCTACTTGCGAAGTTTGATACATACGGCATCGTAGGTACGTGTGTATGTACATTTGTAAAACAACCCTCGTTACTCGTCGCTTGCACCAGACGCTCAGCGTTTGGTCTACCACCAAAATTTTTCGATCTTTCTGCTTGTTCATGCATGCGCATGAAACTTCTGTTTGCGTCAGCCACTGGTGTAGAATATTCGCGTTGCTCTATGTCGTTCGGCATTGTATGACTACAAAGCATTTCGTTAGACGTCGCGCTCTGCCACAAATCGTTGTGCACAGAAGCGAATGCGTCGCCTGTTGCCCGATCAATTTGCGTCGGCAGCGTATGTGTGTGTGCACCAAAATTCAAACATCGGTTCGTAACTGCCATCTTCGTTTGTATGTAGTTTTGTGGCCGCTCGCCACACAAAGATACACACGCGGCGTTAATTCACAGAAAAATGCGACGACCGGATTTAGTCCGAATGAATTAATCTTCGACTTCAAGTTGAATGACATAACGCGTAACCACTTAATAGCTGCCGTAATCGACACCGATGACAATCAACTCATCACTGAGAAACGAAACTTGGCGTTGACATCCATGCAAGAACTGCGTAACAAGTGGAAAGATCGGTTCGACCGAAAACATAAAGAACCTACCACTTACAGTGTTGATGATCTGGTTGTAGTACAGCATGAGCCTTCTGCAACTGGAGAATCTCGAAAACTTGAGCCGAAGTACCGAGGGCCGTACGTCATTGCTAAAGTTCTTGGTAAAGACCGATATCTGCTACATGATATCGATGGCATGCAAGTGAGTCAGAAAAGGTTCACGTCTGTTTATTCATCTGACAAACTAAAGCTTTGGTGCTCCTCACCTCCTGAACTCGATGGGTATCATGGTGAGAGCGACGACGAAAACGACGAATCAGCGGATATCGGGACGATGTCATTGTCAGGAGAGGCCGAACTGTCAACTGACATGGCAGCGCCCTCCCCTACAACATAAGATGGCAACACCTACGGACGAGCTGTCAAGAAGCGACAGTCGTAATCGGGGAGTATTGTAGCAACCGCGGAGCGCGCCGGTCATAAGATAAAAGCTTGTAATTTAACCTGACATACATTTTCTACTTTGTATTAATATTATTATTAAATAAATCTCGGTTAACCTGACAATTGTTTATATCTTAGAAGAATAGTTTAGCCGTAAAAGGGGTGTAAAGGAAACATGATTGCCTATTTAAATAATAGATATAACAAAACAACTAAACAAAAAGAAAATATGTAAATTTATTAAATAATATAATCACTATAATTTTTTAGTGAAAAATCTTTCATACCTTTTTACTACTAAAAGAGAATTAAAGATTTTTCATGAAGAAAAGGGAGGTGTCACGATAATCGTCACTCAGATCACTCAAACCTTAAAGCGGCCCTGTATTTTTAAAGCACTTACTATTGTCAACTTGTACATGGCGAATAGTTGTGCTATCTGCTCGATTCTCATTGGAACCAAAAAGCGTCCACCCAAGTTTCGTCTGATGAGCCGTAAAACCTTCTGCGAAATTTACTACACGTACTGGCTTTGCTAAATTTGTATGCGATACGCCTATTAAAATGTATGGCATTACGTTCGTATAGCTTTCGGTGGGAATATCGTTTAACTCGCTATATATTTGCCTAAATTCTTCTACGCACAAAGTTTGAGGTGACAAAAGCAATTTTTTAATTGTGCGCACACTTTTCATATTCGGTGCTATTCCCGTTGGCGTTGTCATTATAATAATCGTTTCAATGTCGTTGTCGTTTTTATCGTCGCTTCGTTCCTAAATTCGCATTCTTGAAGTATATTGAAACGACGGAGAAGTTATCGGAAACAAAAAATTAAAATTAATAAAGTATGGCAGCGCTGCAGTGTTTTACGTTGTTAGTTTTGACACCAAATTTTGAATTTTGTTATATTAACAAAAAATTAAAGAATGGCGAGTACGGAATTTTATTTTTCAAGTTCAAGTGAGGACAATGAAGTGAACAATATAAATAAACATCGCAGGAGGTTACGACATAGCATAAATTTACTTACACTTCCAGATACAATGTAAGAAAATGTATTTAAGTAAATTATTTATATATCTACGTACATGTACATATGTGCATATATTTTAGATTTGTGAACACATTTAGAGTAAAGAAAGCTGCGTTTCAATACGTCTAGAGCAAATCCGCCCGAAGCTAAAACGCAACACGCGAAAGTCGGCCATTACGCCCNGAAAGTCTGCTATTACGCCAACAATAAAACTGGCAACTGCTTTGCGTTTTTTTGCGCAAGGGTCATATCAGCTTAGCGTTGGAAATGACTTTAATTTGTCGTTGGCCCAACCCACGGTAAGCAAAATTTTATCCGAGGTGTTAGACGCGATGGAAAGTACAATCTGCAAAAACTGGGTTAAGTTCCAAATGTTGGAATATGAGGCGATGGAGTGCAAGCGAAGTTTTTTTGAACGAACTGATTTTCCTGGAATAATTGGTTATGTAGACGGGACGCATATTAAAATAATTGGTTGAGCAAAAGCTCTCAACATTTGTATTACAACAGAAAAGGTTTCTTTAGCGTAAATGCAATGATTGTAAATACTTGAATGAATGTAATTAATGGAAGTGATTACTAACTATTTATTCTTTTGTAATGCGATAAAAGCATACAATTTGCAACCCTATAAATCACCTTGTATGAACACACCTTAAAGCTAATCTAGTACAATAATTAAGAATTTACGATATCAAGAATGCAACCCTGTGTACATATATAAGCAACTAAGTTAAAGATAAAATGAAAAATAAAATGGGCGGCATTATTCCGCGTACCCTAAAAGCGACCAGTCGTGTTTGTTGAAAATATCCGGGAATATCTTTTTGGGAATTAGCAGGGCTTCCCGACCCCCGTCCAGACACCATCGAGGGTAGCAGCAGCAGCGTGGGAGTGTGCGAGACAAGTTCCCGCAACCTCCAAAGGTCCCGCAGCAAGCAACACGGCAGCGGAGCGCCAGGGCTCCTTTTTTGTTCTCATGTCGGCACGGCAGCGGAGCGCTAGGGCTCCACACAGCGCGGAGGTTGCAGGTATGCCCCCGCAATTACGGAAGTGGAAAAGCTCCACTTCACATGGCGACCGTGGCCCAGCCTGGCGCAATGGCGGCCCGCGGGCATAAAAAAAAAAAAGGGCAAAGCCCAAAAATAAAAAAATAAAAATAAAAATTTTTAAATTAAAAAAAAAAATATACATATTTAAAATAAAAACTTTTAATTAACACATAAATTTAAATAATTTGATTTTTGGTGGTGGCTACGAAAAAGAAGAAAAAAATTACAAAAAAAAACAAAAAAAAAAACATTTAAAAATTACAAAAAAAAAAAAACTTTCAAAACTATATATCTATATACAAAAAGCGAAAATTAAAATGAACTTACAAAAAACAAAAATGTGGAAATTATAGTTATAACGGAAAATGAAAAATTACAAAAAAAAATAAAAAAAAAAACTCAAAAAATCCAAAAAAAATCGGTTGTACCAAATTTAAATAAAAAATGTAAATTACAAACTCTAAACCAAAAAAATCCAAAAAAAATCGGTTGTACCAAATTTAAATAAAAAATGTAAATTACAAACTCTAAACCAAAAAAATCCAAAAAAAAATCGGTTGTACCAAAATTTAAATAAAAAATGTAAATTACAAACGTAAACCAAAAAATCCAAAAAAAAAAATCGGTTGTGCCAAATTTTAAAATATCAAATGCGAGACAAGTGCAGTGGCTGGTGGCTAAAATGGGTTTTTATAAAAACAAAAACAGTGGCTGGTGGTACAGCAATCAAAAACTGCAAACTCATTAAAAATTGTTCCAAAAAAAAAACTAAAACAAATAAACGAACTTAGAACTAAATTAAAAGCACGCGAAAAAAAAAGGTTGTTTTAGTGCGTAACTGTACCACCAGATATACCACGCCACCATTCAACAGCCGTTATAACGGCGCATAAAACCACGCCACTAAATAACGCCAAAAACACCGTAACTCCGTTACAACGGCATATATAACCACGCCACCTAACGCCAAATGCATACATACATACATATATCGCTAAGCCAAGGCGCGATATCTGCGTAGCAACTACACCGAAGACGACTACAAGATTTGCAGCAACAACAACATCAACGAGTCAACAGCAACGAGTAGCAGTTTTCAGCTTTTGGGTATGACATACTATTTGTGAAACACCATTTTATAAAAAATTTAAAAACTTTACATTATATTCCTTTAAAACTTTGCTAAACATTTTACTACTTAAATATTTGCTGAAACTTTAGATTGTATTCTCAAACAAAATTTTAAAGACCTACTGTACTTTTCTTGTATTACATACATACATTCATATTACTTGCATTTATATTACATACATAAATTTTAAAGACCTACTGTACTTTTCTTGTACTACATATATACATTCATATTACTTGCATTTATATTATATACATAAATTTCTAAGATTATATTCAACACTTTAAAATTTTACTGATTGAATAATACACACATTTACATATGTATATGTTACTGTTTTTTCTTATGGAATTTCAGCTTCAGTGGTACAGTGATGTACAAATATTAATATTTTTTTAAACGTAACTTCAACAATTTAAAGTTTTCACTAAAATTTTTCTTCAATTCTTTGCAACATTAGGCAAGAGTCAGATTTTTTTTTTTTCTCTCAAATATTCGATAAAAATTTCATACGAATTTTCGCCTGTGCATTGCCGTGCTTTTATACTACAACTTTTAGGATTTCGTTTGAAATATGGTAAAATATTTCAACGATTATAATTAACAATAAACGTTTTCCTCAATTTTCTTTGCCGTTGTAGCCAAATTTCGAATATTACAACTTTATTCAAATAACTTTTTTTTTCAATAATACAATAGTTCGATAGTTTTTATAGATCTTTTGCTTTGCGTGTGTGCCAGATGTCAGATGTCGAACTTGTATTCAAAGATTTACAAGCAAAATTTTCAAAAGTTACCAAGCGTGTTCTTCAAAGCCGTCCACTTTCAACAAATCGGGAAAAAGTTGACGAATATAAGAAATCTTTAATCGAAACTTACAACGATATTTTAATTCAAATAAAAAATTCGGAACAACAAGGAAACAAGCCAGCTTCTATAATTAAAAGTTTACCGCGGTGCAGAGAAAAACTACTTCAGTGTTTTCAAAAAATTGGGTGTAAAGTTTTAGTACCCGAAGATTTTTCAGCTCTTATAAAAGAAGATATTTTAAATCCTGAAGTAGATTCCGACGACGACTTTGCTGACGCTTGTTCAGCTGGCACACCAGAAGTTTTCACCGTTAAAAAAAGTTGTTCTTTGCCTTCATTTAAAGATTTTTTACAAATTGAAGAAACGCCTTGCGTAACGATTAGTTCACCGAATATAAATTTTACTGAATATACAAACGAAATAAAGATGGCAACACCTGAGCAAAAGAAATCATTTATTAGCCTATGTGCGTCTATAATCCGAGAAAACTATAGTGGTGACCCCCTATCGCTCGACTCATTCATTGACAAAATAAACTTAATTGAAGAATTATCGGATGAAAGTTTAACTACAACATTTATAGCATTTTTAAAGTCTAAACTCGAAGGCAAAGCGCGTGAGGTTTTACCCAGTCAAATAATTTCAGTGGATCAAATAAAGGTTGCGCTACGCAGCAGAATCAAACCAGATAATTCCAAAGTTGTCTCTGGCAAAATCGCGTCATTACATATTACTAATAACAACTATGCCGATTTTGCGAAGCGAGTAGAGGAATTATCTGACGCATTAGAGCGATCTTTAATTATTGAGGGTATGACTCAAGCAAAAGCCCATGAGTTAGCGGTAGAGCAGACAGTAAATGTTTGCAGACTGAACAGTCGTTCAGAACTAGTAAAATCTATTTTAGCATCAACCACTTTTACGGATTCGAAAGATGTAGTCGCAAAAATGATTGTAGAACACAATAATGAAGTCAAAGAGCGGCAGGTGTTATCTTTTAGGTCACGGGCAAATAGACCAAATAGTTTTCGAGGAGGTTTTAGAGGGCATAACAACTATGGCTATCACAACAATAGTTTCAGATTTAATAACGGCAATACAAATAGGCACAATAATGGCAATAACACAAGGCACAATAATAATCAAAATAATTACAATAGAAGTAACAATTTTAACAATAGACAAAATAATTACAGAAATAGCACAAGCAATCGTTCGGCAAGCAACAGAAACAACTCTTCTCGTTCAAATTCTAGAAACACTTCTAATGTTCGATTTTTAAACGCCGATGCCCCTCAGGAGCGAACACTGGGGGAGCAGGAGCTAAGCAATTAAACGTAGTTACCCCTGAAAAATCAATTTACTGCTTGAACCTTAATTATTCAGATTTTATTGAATTAAATTGTACCGATTCTTACAAATTATGCTCGTTTCTCGTAGATTCACAAGCAGACATCTCTTTAATCAAGATTTCCAGTTTAGCAAGAAATTCAGCAATTAACAGTAGCAATACCATAAACATCACTGGTGTAACAACTGAAACGGTTACAACATTGGGAACTGTAAGTACAAACTTGGTTGTATCAGGTTTTTTTATTCCGCATACTCTTCACGTTGTAGATGACAGTTTTAATATACCTTCTGACGGCATACTAGGCAAGGACTTTTTAAAGACGAACAGATGTATTATTAACTACGCAAATGACAGTATAACTATCGGCATCGGGACAGAAAGCACTAAAATAGCAATTGTACACGGTTCAAATACCGACACTTTAGTCATTCCTCCAAGATGTGAAGTTTTTCGTTTATTTAAATTGACTAATTCCAAAAACCCTGTTTTCGTAGACTCTCACGAGCTTTGCTCTGGTGTTTTTACATCAAAATGTGTCGTTGACACAACAAATCCAATTTTAAAAGTAATAAATACTACGGACGAGGTAAAATACGTTCGTAACTATAACATCAAAGCTGAGGATATAAGTAACTATAATGTCTACAAAATAAACGAAACTTCCCAAGAGACAAAACGTTTAGAGGAACTAAAGTCAATTTTACAAAAACAAATGCCAAAATATGCTAAAAACAAATTGCTTGAATTATGTTTACAATACGCCGATGTATTTGCCTTAAAAACAGACCGTATGACACTCAACAACTTTTACGAACAGAAACTTCGACTGAATGACAAGACTCCCGTTTATATCAAAAACTATCGATTGCCGTACTCACAACGCGAAGAAATAAATAGACAAGTCGATACTTTACTGCGAAATGACTTAATCGAACCAAGCTCCTCTAATTATAACAGTCCATTAATTTTAGTACCAAAAAAAGATCCATCCGGCCAAAAATCGTACCGCATGTGCGTTGACTTTAGGGCGGTTAATAAAAAGCTTATCGCTGACAAATTTCCACTAGCACGTGTGGACGACATATTAGACAACCTTGGTCGAGCAAAATACTTTTCGACTTTAGATCTGTTTTCTGGTTTCCATCAAATTCCATTGCATAAAAACTCGCGAGATATAACATCTTTCAGCACTGACAAGGGAGCTTTTCGCTGGAAAGTTTTACCATTCGGTTTAAATGTAGCACCGAATTCTTTTTCTCGAATGATGTCAATAGCCTTTTCAGGCATTTCTCCAAATCAAGCTTTTTTATACGTTGATGACGTCATAGTTATAGGTTGTAGTGAGACTCACCATTTAAAAAATCTAGCTAAAGTGTTCGAAACTTGCAGAAAGTTTAATCTCAAGCTAAACCCCACAAAATGCAATTTTCTTCGTTCTGAGGTAACATTTTTAGGGCACAAGTGCTCAGAAAAGGGACTGCTGCCAGACGATTCAAAAATTAACGCAATAAAAAAGTATACAAAACCTTCAGATAAAGACGCTGTTCGTCGATTCGTTGCGTTTGCAAATTATTATAGACGCTTCATACCTAACTTTGCGTCGCTGGCAGCACCTTTAAATAGACTGAGTCGAAAAAATGTAGAATTCTTATGGGACAACGCTTGTGAAACTGCATTTCAACACTTAAAATCAGCCCTAATGTCTCCTAAACTTTTGCAATATCCTGATTTTACTAAAGAATTTTTAATAACTGTGGATGCTTCTAAAAACGGGTGCGGTGCTATATTAAGCCAAAATCATAATGGCAACGACTTACCAATATGTTTCGCTTCTAAATCTTTTAACAAAGCAGAACAAAATAAACCAATCATAGAACTTGAACTTTTAGCTATATATTTCGCGATTAAGCAGTTTCGACCCTATGTTTACGGCACTCACTTTAAGGTGAAGTCTGACCATCGACCCTTAGTTTATCTTTTTAACATGAAGGACCCATCTTCAAAACTTGCTAGAATACGCCTAGAACTGTCAGAATACGACTTCACTATTGAGTACATAAAAGGCAAATCAAACGTGGGAGCAGACGCACTTTCACGCATTACCATTAATGAACTAAAAGACTCTACAAAACATGTTTTAGCTATGAAAACGCGATCAATGACAAAAACAATAGAATTACAAAACGAAAACAACTACACGGACAACCCTACAGTACAAGTTTACGATAAATTTTCATATAATTTTTCTAAAAATATACCGCGAATAGTAACGCATTTTCGCTACGATAAAGATAACAAAATTTCAAATATTCAAATATGTGCACATTTAAAACACAAAAAACAAGAATTACTTAATTTTGCGAATGTTAACGAAACAACTTGTTTAGACGAGTTACTTTTGAGGCTTGATGCTGAAGCCGGCAATCGCAATATTAAGCAAGTAGAATGGCCAAAAGATGATATATTTTTCAATAATTTCTCTATTTCAAATTTAAAAACCAGCGGTAACAATATTTTAAAATTTTTACAAATTATCTTAACAGAACCGGTAGAAACAGTAACTGACGATGATAAAAAGTTAAAGTTAATGACCATTTACCATAATGACCCCCTAACAGGCGGTCACTGCGGAATTAAAAAACTTTATGCAAAATTACGTACAAAATATCACTGGAAAAATATGACCCGTGATGTATCCAAGTTTGTTAAAAATTGTTCAAAATGTTTATTAAACAAGGTTAAACCTAAAAACAAGGAAAATCTTGTTTTAACGCCAACACCTTGCAAACCATTTGATATTATTGTAATCGACACATTAGGACCCCTACCAGAGTCGAGTAGTGGTAATAGGTTCGCAATTACCATTATATGCGATTTAACAAAGTATTTAGTAACAGTAGCTGTTCCAGATAAAAGCGCTAAAACGATTGCATCTGCCATTTTCGAAAGTTTTGTCTTAACTTACGGTGTAATGAATTCCATTAAATCAGACTTAGGCACCGAATTTAAAAATGAAATTTTCACTGAATTAACCAAACTTTTAAAGGTTAAACACGATTTTTCAACCGCACACCATCATGAAACCGTGGGTACTATCGAACGTAACCACAGAGTTTTTAATGAATATTTACGAGCATATTTACATGAAACATTTTCCGACTGGGATGTTTATTTAAAATATTTTACATTTTTACACAACACAACAACTAACACAGTTTTCGATAATAAATTTTCCCCATTTGAATTAATATTTGGGAAAAAGGCAACAGTGCCTCAAGATTTGAAAAAAGATAAAATTGACCCGATTTATAATGTAGAAAATTACGCGAAAGAAGTTAAATATCGCATGCAAAAGTCGCACAAAATCGTTAAAGAATTAATTAATAAACACAAAATTCGAAACAAACTAATATATGATAAAACGGCGCGTCCGTTATCAATTAGCGTTAACGACAGGGTTCTTGTTCAAAAAGAACCACGCAATAAGCATGAAAACATATACCAAGGGCCATACGTTATAACAAAAATTGACGGTGTAAACGTCACAATTTTTGATGAAGCGAAAAACAAAGAAAAAACAGTACACAAAAATAGAATTCATAAAATAAAATAAAAAAAAAAATAAAAATTTTTCTTCTATATGTATATACGTATGTATAATTACTTTCACTTTATTACCTTATAAACAAAAACAAAAATGTACAAAACAAAAAAATAATAATCTGAAATGTACAAATTTTCAATATGAAATCTAGCTCAAAAGAAAAAACAAACAAACAAAACTAACTATTATAAGTGTTTACAATATATTTTTCCACAAAATTATAATATAAGATTTTTTTTCCAAAATACTAAATGAATTTATTAAACCGAAAGCATTTTTCATACATTGTTAAAAATATAACTCAGAAAATCTAAATACAAATATTAAAACAAAAAAAATTTAAATTCCATTTTTCATAAGCAATTAATATGTATTTATGTAAAATTCAATCAAATAGCCTCATAAGTTATTTACGAAAATAATTACTCAATTTTATTTTACAAATACGATACTTTGCCAATTAAATAACTTTTAATAAATAAAATAAGTAATAATTAAGTAAATACAATAGCTTTTATTTAAATATCTAATATTTACCAACACTTAAATTGATTTGAACGAACGAATGAAAAGAAGGAGGAATATCCCTTAAGCATCTCTTAAATTCGTTCCTTCAAAACAATTTAATTCTGATTATAAATTTTGGGCAAGAACAATATGGCAAAACTGATCACGTTGCCAAATTCTTCTTTTTCCAAAGGAGGGTGATGTAATGCGATAAAAGCATACAATTTGCAACCCTATAAATCACCTTGTATGAACACACCTTAAAGCTAATCTAGTACAATAATTAAGAATTTACGATATCAAGAATGCAACCCTGTGTACATATATAAGCAACTAAGTTAAAGATAAAATGAAAAATAAAATGGGCGGCATTATTCCGCGTACCCTAAAAGCGACCAGTCGTGTTTTGTGAAAATATCCGGGAATATCTTTTTGGGAATTAGCAGGGCTTCCCGACCCCCGTCCAGACACCATCGAGGGTAGCAGCAGCAGCTTGGGAGTGTGCGAGACAAGTTCCCGCAACCTCCAAAGGTCACGCAGCAAGCAACACGGCAGCGGAGCGCCAGGGCTCCTTTTTTGTTCTCATGTCGGCACGGCAGCGGAGCGCTAGGGCTCCACACAGCGCGGAGGTTGCAGGTATGCCCCCGCAATTACGGAAGTGGAAAAGCTCCACTTCACACTTTTTTGTATAAGATCTGTGATCATAAAATGCGTATCAGATACGTAGACGCCAGACATCCACGCTCTGGACACGATTCCTTAATTTGGAATACCAGCCGAGTAAGAACGGTTTTACAAGAAAAATATGAAGCTGGTGAACGTCATTCGTGGATTCTTGGTATGAAATTACAAATAATTTTGAAATGAGTTTTACATACAAGTTTTTAGGCGATGCTGGTTACCCATTAAAACCATTTCTAATGACACCTTATAGATCAGTGGCTGAACATAGAGCGGAAAGCCGCTACAATTCCGTTCATTCCAAAGCAAGAACTATTGTTGAGCGAGTGATTGGAGTACTCAAATCGCGATTTCGATGCCTCCTTGGAGTGCGTGAGTTACACTATGATCCCCAAAAAATTACTAAACTCGTAAACGCTTGTGCTGCTCTTCACAATATTTGTCTTCACTACATGATCTACATGATCTACAAACGCCTTTGGAAGAAGCAGAAAATTCTGCAATTATTAATGAAAATGAAGCAGGCGGTAGCTCAGAGGCTTCCAGAATAAGAGATGTGATTAAAGGCAATTTGTTTTTATAAGTTTTATTTTTAATTCATGCTATATACATACATACTTAAAGTAAAAAAAGAAAAAACACTTCATAAAAAATAAATAAAAATTCAAATGAAATAAATTACATATTTGAACTTAATTGTTTCTCCAATAACCCCATTTTTTTTTTTCTTTTTACTGCAGCATCCAGCTCAAAAAGCTCTTCTTCTTTACGTGCCTTCCTTTTGTAAATTTTTAGGCGTTCTTCTTCTATCTCATACCTTTTGCTTTGGTATCTGGAAACATCTTTCTTGTATCCCTTAATGGACGGTCGCACTGTACTTCGTGTATTTCGGCCTGCTTCCTCAACAGCTCTATTCTTTCTTTTTCGGAGGGTTTTGTGCTTCTTGAAGATCGCACTCTTGTTGAAACTGTGGGTATTTCAAATTCCACATAGTCTTCGACGACATATTCTTCAGCGTTTTCTATACTTGCCTGTATTTGAGAACTCGCAGTCGTTTCATCAAGGTTCAGCAACGCATCAATTTCGGTATCTTCAACCAAACCCAACTCACTCCCTTTTGGATTTATTTGCTGCTCAAACTGCAACAAATTTGCAACCGCTTTTTCCAGTGGTGACAGTTGAATTTGTCTATTGGCTCCTCCTCCTCTCCTTTTCGGAAACTAAAACCTCAAATTGCTGCACGGTAGTAATTTTCATTTTAACTTTATTAAAATCGCAAACCTTTCGCTTTCGTTCTAAAAAATGCGGACGACAGTTGACGAATGTTTCTATGGCGTTCGTATCTTCGTTTCAAAATGGAGAATACCGATATATTTCCGATAAACTTCGATAACACCAACGGTGATGCCAACTTGTCGTTTTTATTTCGTTTTAAAACGACAACACCAGCGGGAATAGGGGCGATTAACTGGAAATTTCAACATTTACTCGCTTTGACACTTCTGTTGTTGTTTGATCGTCAAACCACTTTAAATGCAATAAATCTGCTCCCCTTTCAAACCAATCTGGTCAGCTTGGTCCCATCATCATTAAAAGCCATTAGTTGCAAGATACCCTTAGGTCCATAAAGCTTAACCGGCAAAAACTTAAGCAAAGTTTTGAGGACCATGTCATTACGCGTGTCTGCATTTCTTTTGTTTTCTTTGCATGTCTCTTTTCCATATTCGCTTTGCCTGCATTCGCTAACAGTTGCAACAGGTGATTCCCTTGGAGCGGGACTGCCAGATGAAGGTGTTTCTGGAGTGTGGTGAAGTAGTTTATCGTGGTATTTACGACACGTTGATACTCCACATTCATGGCGGCAAGGACAATTGTGCATGCTATGATTTGCAGAAAGACAGCCAAAACACAATCGACTTTTCTTTACCACTTCCCAGCGTTTATTGTACTCGGCATCTTTGAAATTCGAGCATTGGTATAATTTATGATTGGCTTTGCAAAACTGGCATTTAAATTTTTCTTCACCAATGGTTAACACTGGCATAGTGCATTTATTACCTTTCCGGGCCAACTGATCAGTGTTTACATTTGACTTGGATGTATTCATTTCAGTTGCCGTAGCGATGTACATTGATGTTTGCTGTAACCAAATACAAAATTCTTGAATAGTTGGATACGGTTTATTTATTGCACAAATATGGCAAACCCCTTCCTCTCGTTTATTGAGCGACTATTTGCTTACAAGTTCCTCCAGCAGCGTTGGATTTGAGAGGTGTGGAAGAGCTTCAGCATTTTTAAGAAAGGCAACAAGATTTGACACCATAGTGGCGAGGTTTACGATTTCGCCGATATATTTGTCAGTAACTGGTGGGAAGGCTCGTGCTTTGGCAAGTTGACTGCGAACCAACAACTCAGGATGGACAAAGTAAAATTGCAGTGTGGACATAATTGCATTAACACCAGAAGGATGGATTAATAAAGATTCGACTTTACTGCGTGCGTTTCCTATTAGACACTTTTGAAGGCGTTCCAGGTTCAGGCCAGAAAACTGCGGCAAATCCCGAAGCTTCGTAGAGAGTGTTGATTGTACGACGGTGTCCAAATTGTTTGATTGCTTTCAGGCAAATTGTGCGATGTGTTTATATGCGCGTGTCTTCCGAAGCTAGCTTCGGCAGGATCGACGTTGGGCAAGTAAAATGAGGAAAAATTACCTGTTGTGCGACTCGTATCATTTAGTTTGCCTACCGGGCGAAAAGCAGCGGTTGCTCTTTTGAAGTTGATTGTGTACTCGCTTGTTTGATGTCGGATTTCATCTGTTGTTGCTATATTGTGTTTCGCTGTGGATACATAAGCTGGGATTCCGGCGGCGGATGATATATTGGCATTATTTGTGGACACGCAGGCACGCGCTTTGTCTACGTCGGCTAAGGTGACGTTTGAGGCAGAATTCACTAAACGGGCTGGAAGATCGTCCGGTGGATTGACGTAGGCGCTATTCTGGTAAGCGTTGGCGCCTGATATGCGGTCGTCGGCATAAGGTGTATAAGCAGAGTATCCTACAGATGTAGTGATACCACAGCTTCTTGAGACGGTAGGTGCACTGGCGTGTGAATGGCTTATGTCGGCAATAGTGACAATAGCCTGTAGTGCGGTGGCAGGTGCACCTGCTGGTGTCTAAACAAGTGTTTGCTTCTAACATAATCGTTCACTCTCAGAAGCGGGAAGTGAACGTTGCAAAGCCTTTTTGGCTCTTGTAAATTACTTTAAAAATCTGGCGTTTTTATTATGGAGTTATATCGGAGTGTTTTAATATCTATAAAAAACCAATTGTTATGTAATGCAAATATAAAAATCTTCCTTTTATACTATTCCCTCGTTCGTGTCGAAATAAATGGTCATCGGCTTAAGCCGTTATTTCAAAATAGAAGCGATTACATTAAATTGGAGGCATTAACAGTTGTGTTAAACATGTAAGGTTACCAAGAGAACATAATAATAATTAATTAAAAATAGGTTGTATAAATTTAATTGCAGTTTTCTCCACAACATTATGTCTTCGCTATTGAGCACCGCAAGGGAAGTGTATACGGAAATGCTGATGCCATGTCCCGTCCACCATCTAGCATGGATTGTAAACACTGCTCAAAATCTGAGGCCAAAGAAGACATGATTGACGTCCGGATAACGACAATATCACCAGCGGAAGAGTGTAAGGAGGAACAGATACGAAAGTGACAGCAGAAATATCCAGATCTGGAGCTTTAGATACATGGTCTGGAGACGAACAGATGGCCAAATAACGAGCAAATGGCAGCGAAGATCCCAATCGCAAATGCATACTGGGCACAATGGAACAGTTTGAAGTTGATATCTGGCTGTTTGCATAGGGTATGGGAAAGTGAATATGGCCACTGTTGCCGCAATTTAATAGTAGTTCCGAGGTAAGAGTTGCAGACGTTCTCAAGGAATTCCACAATGGACCCAGTGGAGGGAACCTGGGAATCACGAAGACCCTGGAGAAGATCAAGCAGAGGTTCTATTAGGTCGCAGAGTTGATTGCTAACAGCTGGAAGCTTAAAACAGTAGCGAAGGTATTCACCTTGGTGGTGATGCAAGAAGAATCGGGAAAGAGACTTATAACATCCTGGAAGATGAGCTGAGAGAGATATACGCTTTTGTGAGACAGCGTACTCAAATTATGAGTGACAAGATGAAGGCCGCGTATGATAAGGCGATGAACTCCGAGGGTTTCCAAGAGGGAACTTAGTGCTGCTGTACAATCTACAACGGAAGAAAGGTTTGTCCCCAAAACTACAATGCAACTCGGAAGGTCCGTATAAGGTCGTCAATCGGCTAAGTGACTTAGTATATCGAATCCAGACCGTTGGGAGACAAAGAAACAAGATGAAGGTGATCCGCTTGCAGCGTTCGCAACAGTAAGGGCATTGTGGCGAATACTGCGGAATTACGTAGAATATTCGGCAGCAATAAACGTCAGGTGGATGAACACTGCGAACTGCGAGAGAATGAGAGATATAGCGATTCTACAATAGCGCAGTGGCAGTGGCAGTGACAGTTTTTAACACGCAGTAACAGTTCGAAAGCTGCCGCTGCCACTGCCACTGTGCTATTGTAGAATCGCTAATAGATGGCAGAACGTTCTATAGTAGCCATGAGTGCGAGTGCAAGTATATAAGGGAAGTTAGTTAAAATTCAGTAAGTTGCGAATCAGAAAGCTACAAGTCAAGTTGAAAAGTTTTGTAAAGTAATGTATTGTGGAACAATTTTGCGTCGTCCCTTGCCAAATTTGGTTTGGAGATAAACCGGCTTCGGCGTTACGCCATCTTCAGTGTCATTTTTCGTGAGAACGAAACGTTCCACAACACATCATACTCCTACCCTGTCGGAAACACAAACTACCAAAAAGAAATTTTGTAAAGTGTTTTAATTGCCTTAACAAGTATTGTTGATTGTTGTTATTGCATAAACAAGTATTGTAAAATGTTTGTTGTACAATAAAGTTAATTGTACTGTAATTTGATCATCGTGAGCATTTATTTAACAATCAAGCTATACGAACCGAACCGAGGGGCTTTTGGGAAATCCGTTAAACATTAAACAAGGATACTCGTAACAGTATGTTAAAGTTTTTATGAAATTCACTTCTTATGTACGTTTGTTTCACAGCCCATAACGCATCACCTGTTCAAATATTACGGTTTAAATCCCACTAGCTACCCAAAAAATTGACTGTAAATTTTATCCTATGATATAATGAATTTCTTCAGGGCGAAATTATCATATGTGCTAAGAAATTAGAATGTAGAGACCTTTCTGCAAAAAAAAAGACTTGCGTTTAGTTATATTTCTCAATTAGTTTAGCAAATCTAAACTTTGGTATTGATGGTGCTAGCCAAAGCAGAGAAAAATACAAAAAACACGTTCCTGTAAAATTTGGTTTTTATAATATACAGTCAGTCAATAAAGTTTAGGTACAGCGAATTTTTTACAATAAGGGCAACTATTTTTTAAATATTTTGTTTTTCGCACATTTTTTATAAAAATATGGTCAATTCTACAACAAAAACCCCAAAAATCAAGGTTCCAAACCTTGTGCAAAATTAAAGACAATTCCCCAAAATTTCATTCAAATATTGCACTTTTTATTTACGCTCTCTAGAAAGAAGTTGGGTATGCAGTTTTTTAGCCCATTCAATTTTAGTATAACAAAGTGCAAGTTTGTGGTGGCTAGGACTTACCATTGATTTTTAGGAATTTTTTTTTTGTTGAAGGTGTCGCTCATTTTCTCCATATAAAATAATGTTTGATAATTTTTTAATATGGAAAAAATGTGCGACACCTTCAACAAAAAAATTTCCCAAAAATCAATGGTAAGTCCTAGCTTCCTCATACTTGCACTTTATTATACTAAAATTTAATGGGCTAAAAAACTGCTTACTCAAATTTTTTCTAGAGAGCGTAAATAAAAAGTGAAATATCTGAATGAAATTTTGCAGAATTTTCTTTAATTTTGTACAAGGTTTGGAAATTTTATTTTTGGGGTTTTTGTTGTAGAATTAACCATATTTTTATAAAAAAATAGCGAAAAATAAAACATTTAAAAAATAGTTGCCCGTATTGTAAAAAATTCGCTGTACCTAAACTTTATTGACTGACTGTATGATAATTTTGCGCAAAAGGGTCGATATCAATTTAAATAAATATTTAAGATAAAGGCGATTTTTTCGTAGCAAGTTAAAAGAAACAATGGCAGAATGTGTTCTTGTGTATGAATTCATTGCTACCAAACTGTGCGGCCAAATTATCAGTGAAACATCACCTATAAGTATGCGTAGTGAGTAGATAAACACTCGGTTTCGCTGCAATGAAATAAAGTTTATATACATATAATCGTCACTTTAATTATTGAACTTCGTGAGAGTTCTTTGCAAAAATGGTTTGCAACCCGGGTATACAAAATCAGTTTAAAATTTGTGCTAATTTAGTACCTATTTCGCATAAAATTAAAACTGTATTGCTTCTAACATTGAATATGGGAACGGGACCAAATACAAAACGGCAAACAACTTTTTCTTCTTCTTCTCTACATCTCACTGCAACCATTTCTAAGGCTGCTAATATTGAGAGCCCACCAGCTGTTTCAAGTGAGATTTCGCGTTTAGAAGCAAAAATGCTGATCTACAGAGATTTGGTGAGTTGGCGGCAGAGATCACAAATTTAAAGCTGAATTAAAAAATACTTGAAGACC